TTTCCTTTCCTTTCCTTTCCTTTCCTTTCCTTTCCTTTCCTTTCCTTTCCTTTCCTTTCCTTTCCTTTCCTTTCCTTTCCTTTCCTTTCCTTTCCGTCTTTCCTTTCTCCTCCCCTGAGGATGCAAAGCGTTTTAACACGGATTTCTAGCTGTTCAGAATTTATTTTCCTTGTCAAAAATATTTTGTGGTAAAGTGTTTCTATCGCCCACTATTTTCTGTGAGAGTGTTTTTTTAAAGAAATATATATATAAACTATTATTTGTTACTGAATTGTACAAAACAAATACATTAAATTCTTTGATTAATTAACCCGTTCGATGGACGTTTCTGTAAAAAAAAAAATCACTTTTCCCTCGTGCAGTATATATATACTATATATATATATACACACACACATATATATTTCCCCTCCCCTTAGCTGTCGCTAATAAAGGAAGGCCCAGAAGTGGCTTAATGATTGATTGTCCGTTTTAGTTTACACTAACAATGACTTTTAATACCTAAACGTATCCGTCCCCGCCCGAGCGTTACAGCTGTCGGGCTGCGGGCGCTGGCGACGAGGGGGGGTGAGGGGGGGCAGTGACCGTGACGTCACGCRCGGGGACCCCCGACGGGAACTGCGCCGTCCGCGACCTCTGTGCAGGGCTGCCCCGAAAAGCTCTGTTTTCTGCAGCATACAGAGCTATCGTGAGATTTAAAATATCTGTAACAGCAAAACCAACATGATTTTAGCAGGTTCCTCCCATGCGGGAGCTTAGAATGAACCTGTGCGAAACTGCATTATTTGGTCCTTTCAGGTAAAGAAAGAAAGGGAAAAAAAATCAAACAAATAAACAACAACAATGAAAACCAAACACCCACATTGGGGTAGCTTGAAACTGCCAAATGACACCGTTTTAATTACTTTAATGATGTTTAAGAATAGCAGAGAGTAGAGGCAAGTAAATGGCCCGAGGGCTGCGCGGGCTCTCCGCTGCTCGCTCCAGGCTTAGAAACGGCCTGTGAAGCACCTCTCTCCAGGGCTGCATCCCCTCTCGCCACCCAGGTAACTAGCGATATCGGGTGTGTGAGTGGACGTGAACACTCGCACACTTACAGGTGTGCACACAGGAAAATAAATAAATAAATAAATAAATAAGCAGATCTGTGATGAAATCCTGTCTCCCCGAGTGCCTCCCCTCCTGCCGCAGCCTCGCTCTCTTTCCAAGGTACCAAATGGGGATTCCCTCTCCCTTTCATTGCACTGCTCACAACTTTCTGTTTTGAAGCGTCCCGTTCACGTTGCCTGCATAATAACAGCAGCATGTTAACAGAACAGCAGACCTGGGACATAGATAGAGACACTGCGCGTATTCCCTGGGCAGAGAAAAATGTGCTCTGAGCCCGAACTAGAGCAGAATTGTTTCCTTCTGCCTACACGGCCCCAGAAACTTGTGCCGTTGAAACTGAAAGGTACGAATCCATCTGCTGGGAGAGAGGATGTTCCCATCTTGTCCTGAGATCTGTGCATTTCTTTATTTCTCTATTTACAAAAGTGTTTGGATGTGCAGGCTAATCACCTTTAATTTTTCATTTGCTTGTTACAGATGTCTACCCCGTTGCTCTCAAGGTAATCTAGACAGACGCAGCTGAAAGCCCGAATCTTATGCCTTAGACATCAAAGAAAGCTCGCACAAAGAAGTATTTCTTCACAACGGTGAATCTTCATGGTAAGTTAGGATTTCTATGGCAATAGGCAAGTCATACTTAAACAGTGAAAGGCGAAGTCTGGAGCCCGTCCAGTCTTTTCATTAAGGACATAATATTTACGTCTAACAGGCCCTTTTTCTTATGTATACAAGTATATATTTTTGTTTGACGCGAACTAAATCATTTTCGTTTAATTTCCGGTAAACAAAACCCACGCGAATAGGGCACTTGTTCCAGATCATAATAAAAATGGATAAGACTGTCAAGAAGAAAAGGCCCGCTTGAACCGGCGCCTCAGCCCACTTTTGTTTCTGCTTTCTGCCGGGATCAGAGAATGCGTTTGGGATTTGAGGGCGAATTTCTAAAGGCAAGGAAATGGTTTTTAAGGGGGAAAAGAAAAGGAGAAAGGTCTAATCAAGCTCGGGTTGTTCAAAGGGCCTGATTTTGGGGTTGAAAGTGTGAGTTTTATGGTGCATCAGCATGCCACGTTAGGATCGCTATGGTAATGAGGAGAGCAATAGCAAGCGGCCTTCAAAGGAGGCACACTCCATTTGAGACAGTCTATTAAGATACATTTGCACTGACCTTTGGTTTCATGCTAGCTTAATACAGTCAATCTGCTCCTCGCTATAGATACACTTCCTCCACCTAATGCACTTCTGCGGGGCCGGGGTCTCTCTGGCTTCACATTCACCCTAAGGTGGGSTTGGCTCTGGCATTCCAGCCTCGCCGCTCTTTTCCCCAAAGAAAGGGCTACTAATGAGGCTTAGGGCGAGTTCCCTTCCCCTCTCACGAGCATTTCCGATCAGCTTATGGCACTAAAACCCGATCACAAAGCCCGAGAAGAAGTGGGTTTTCTCCCTCCACCCGCTCGCACCGTCCCCCGCCCTTCCGCGCCCTCCACGGCAAGACAGGCTGGGGAAGGAGCGAGYCCATGGGGTGACTGTGCCCGAGGGAATACCCGGCAGCTCTGAGGCGGCCCAAGGAAGCGGGACGAGGCCGGGGGTGACCGCCCAACCCCCGCCGCCCGGCCCGGTCCGCGGTGCGAGGACTTGACACCCCCGGGGCCACGGGCGACGGGCCGCGGACCCGGGAAAGTTAGAAGTCCATGTTCCAGTAATTGTCTTGTTGTTTATTTTATCCAAGTACCCCAGTGAATAGGGGAAAAATAAACACGGGGGAAAAAAATTCAAACAGTTGAGTCGTCTTTAGTGCCAGCCCTTGTGGTTGAATAAAAAGGATGGTCCAATTTCTATTGAGCTGAGAAATCTTTGAAGTGGGAGTTATTATCTGAGAAATTCCTGCTTGTCGTCCTAACAACGCTGATGAAACGTAAAAGGTTCTTTGTCAGCGATTTGTTCTCCTCTCCGTCAAACTCACCCTGCCCGTTAGCTTTAAACCGTTTCTAAAGAGATAAAATCAAACTTTTAAAGATAACTTTAGGGGCCCAGAGGGTGCAGAAAATACCAAACTATCGAATCCTGTGTATAGACATACATCTGGATATATGTGGCTGTGTCTATGTGAAATTCCATCTGTGTATAGATCTCCATAGATGTCTGTATGACCTTACTGTTCAAAAGTTGAAATGATGTCCATTTTTGCATTTTATCCTCAGAATTTTTCTGTCTAATAAATTATTCCCATACATATGCTGCACAGAATGCCATTCTCGGGAAAAGACAGAAATGCTGGGCTTCATTAACACCAATATGTGACCAACAAGCTTTTTCTTTCCAGTGTACTGAATGCAAGAGCATACACTTAAGAGTAAAGGCTTTGATCATTTTAACCTCCCGAACACCTATTAAGCATGTATATACTGCAATGTATTGAAGTTGTTAACGCATTCAAACCGACGGCTTCCATATGCTCCCATGTTTTATTGTCCATGAGTGTAAAGATAGAGTCCAACTTCATCTCTTTTGTATCTTCGTTTTATAAACATTACAGTATACACTGAAACGCTTCCCTAATAAAAGTTCATTTAGGAGTTTCTCATTAGAGATCATTAAATGCTCTGTTTGTAAAGCAAATTTCTTGAAGTTTTAACTCATCAGTGTACTTCTATTTTAGTTGCTACAGAACGATCTGAGCCCAATCCTGCCATTCTAAGAAACCCCATTAATGTAATGGGACTTTTACTGAGTAAAGACTGAGTCAAACTGCAGTGAAGTGGGTATTATTATTATTATTATTAAACTGGAGCTTGTCATATTTATGGTAGAATCTACCACATTCTTTGTGAACTGTACGGAGAAAAAAAAATGTCTCTGAAAATGTAACTGGTGAAAACGTTGAAATACTGTAAACGTTGAAATACTGCAACGTTGAAATACTGTATATCTTTCCAGACTCTTATAATCTCCATTTTTGTCCCTTCATCACATGTTTGGTAACGAGGGAATGTTCTGTTATGTGTTTGAACCTACTATTTATTTTTAATATTTGGATTTTTTACAATAAATATTTATAAGCGTATCGAACCTATGGCTATTTTTACAAACGCGTGCACTTTTAAATAGACGTGATTGTACCAAGGCACATCTAAAGCACTATAGTTCACGTTTTATTTCTGTTGGTTTTACTGTGAGTTAAAAATATTCCCCCAAAACGGTGTACCGTAAACACGGGGAACAGGCAAACATTAATGCGTGTTTTTTTTTTTATTTTTTTTTTCTTTTATCTCCCCTAACACCGTTCGTTTTGAGTTATCATTGCATTAAAATAACAAAACAGAACTCCTTGACCTCATTTCTGAGGTAGTATATTTTCACATCAGAGACTCCCTGTTTAGCACTACTGAATTGTACTTCAAATATTGACGGAGTTGAGGGGTGCGAGAGCGGTCCCGCTGTCACTCGGTCGCTGCTGGCTCGAGCCCCGGGCCTTTGTTCGCTTTCCGCCGGCTTTCCCCGCACTGGATATCYCTGCATCGACTCTTTCCTGTCCAGCCAACTCTGTCCAGGTCACTAACTTCGGAAATTGGGGCGAGATTCCCCAATTCCCAGCCAGAGTTCCCCCAGTAGCGCTGTCGCTCCCAAAAGACCTGGTGCAAGTTATTGTTTTGACCGGGCAGGTGAGAGATATTGTTCTTTTAAAGAGATATCCTCTCAGACTGGGTCCCGTTACTTTGTCGTATTTTATTTGTAGCCTAGAAGGACCTGGAGCTTTCTAAATTTATTTTTATTTTTAATTTTTAGCAAAAGAGATTTGTTGGCCAGCTCAAGTAAGCTAAAGGTAACTGCTTTTACTTTGCACGCTCCAGTAACTCATTTCAATGCGTTGCAGGGATTTTCAGCCGCCGAACATACCCAGAGTTTTCTGCGCTTGACATTTTAAGTCCCAAATCTCCAGTTCGGAGGGATTCGCCRGTTCTTGGCCCGGAACGGTCCTTAGGGCAGGGCTGGCGGTATGCGCATGCGCGTGGCCTTTACTCCCTWCTTAAAAGGAAAACTTGAAAGAAGTTGCCTAACACAGAGATGACAAAAAGTTGGCTTTGGCTGGCAAGAATATTGTCAATAAAGAATACATTTGACTACAGGAAGAGAGAGAGGGAGGGAAAGAAAGGAAGAAAAGAAAGAAAAGAATTAAAGCAAGAATGGAAGGAAAACATTTTTGCTGATCTGTAAGACAAAAAATGGCCCATAAAGGAAAGGAGGGCTAACAGTACATGCTAATTACAGAATACAATTCTATGGTCTGTAATGATTGAGCGAAGACATGTACTTATTACACTTGACTGTCAACAAGGGAAGGAATGTCCCCTCAGACAGCATGGTGAGAGACGTGTGGGCATTATTAGTGGCCCTTTTATAGACATTGCCTTTTCTTTCTCAATGCTGACAAACCATTTTGGAGGGAACCATCCCCTGTTGCTTCCTATCATCGATCCCCATGCAAGCCCCTGCATTGTGCAAGTGCATTAATTAAAGACCATTCATTTAACAAAAGAACATTGTATGTTCAGGAAAGGAAGATTAGAAATATGAATCAGTAAAAGCAGGACCCATTTCCGCCGCGTTATCGAGAGGAGGGGAAGTAGTTGCAGCCCGCCGTTAAGTACACTTCATCCAGAGAGCCACAATTGGGGGTAGCGTCACCATTTAGGCTCTTGGGGACAGGGTCCCTGAAATGGGTTAGGGCTGGGAAAGGTTGTTTTCAAGTGTGCGGGGCTGCTTCCCCCTCCGCGCTGCCGCAGCCTGCGGAGTTGGCTCGGGCGGGCTCGGTTCAGCGCGGCGCGATCTGAACCGGTCTGTTCGGCTCTGCCCGGCCCGGCCCGACCCGTTGGGCCATCTCAGGGAGCCTCCGGCGACTTCCCTCACCCTATGCTCCGCAGAGCCGCCACTCCCGCACATAGAGTCCCCTCCCCGGCTGCTTTCGGTGCCTACATTCATTTTTTCCCCAATCCGAAGCAAAATCACGCTGCTCCTACAAAGCCGATCGCGACTTGAGCGTGTCTTATCCTGAGGAGGTGGGAGGCAAGTGCTGAGCTGCGGAGGTTTAGGCGGGTGCTGGCGGGGAGCCGGGGGGTAAAGGAGAGAAGTCGGATTGCCAGTATCACCCACATGACTTGTTAAGCGGCTCCAGCTTCTCTACAACCTCTGGGCCATATGTTAGTTTATTTACACCCTTTGTCTTTTCGTGAGGCGCYTGGTGAAGAATATTCGTGGGATATAAATGAAAGTAAGCTAGAGTAAACAAACAAGGGGAGCACCTGCTTGAGGGATATGTAACATTCCTAAGACCCCAACAGCGCCCGTCGTTCCCATGCTTATAGTGGGGCCAGAAGAGCAATTAAAGCTTTTAGTTAACCCCCCACCCTAGATTTTTAATGCCATRTGATATATTGGCGCAATGTTGTGCTTGATGATTTAGAGGTTTTGAAGGCACTGGGGCGAGGGGCAGGAAAATCATCAAAATTAACACTTTAACTTTTAAAAATAAAAGAAGAAAAAGAAAAGTATATTAATGACACCAACATCTTAGACAAACCTCTGCAGTGTTTGTTGGAGACTGATTTTGTTCCCAACGCCTTCACCACTTGGAGCTAACCTGGTACGAGGCAAGAACCGCAGCCTCCCGCCCGTATTGGGCGACGAGGTCCTGCGACTTGGGGCACCAGTCCCCGAGCGGGGACTTGCACTCCAGGTTCGCTCGCTTCTTATCGCAGGGTCCCTTGGACAGGCTGCAGCACGTTGGGCTACGATGACACTTTTCCCCAGACATAAGAGACGCCCTAACAAATTCGAGTGATTTGTAGATTTTTTTTTTTTTTTCCCTGGGTGAGCGTCACCCGAGGGATCGGCAGCTCCCGCAGCACTGGCCGGGGCCAGCGCATTCCGCCGCCTGCCGAGCCGTGTGCGCTGCGCGGCAGCGGCCGCTTCGCGCCCACCCGCGGAGCCCCGCGGAGCCCTCGCGCCCTGGTCACTCGCTCCGACCTCTG